GAGCGCAAAGGAACGGTCTTTTTGGCTACAGTTGTAGAAATGTTACAAGTGAAGCATATCTCAGTGATGGATCCTGATATATAGAGGGGAGAGAGAGAGAGACACACACACACACAAAAGAAATGGATCCCTTTTTTCTCGGCTCACTCACATGGATGAGCATTTATTAACAATGGGGTCTACAGAAGTTATTACCTTTGTGGCTCAAAGACCTGGAACAAGTCCCCCTTTCTAAATAACTCACACAGAGAGAGATCACACAAACAATAAAGCGGTGATCTTTTATTACCTGCCACTGTGACTTTTCCATGTCACAAGATATAGAGCGGTTATTTCCTGTGCTAGAAGTAAATTCAGGTCACTATCTATGCTTATAAGCCCTCACTTTGATGATCTTGTAAGTTAGCATAAGAATCACAACTCAATAATTCTGTAAAGTTATATCAAATTCTGCAGTTTTTTCCGCGTTCAGCTACCCGCTATCATCGTTCGTCTGCATCGAACACCATATTTATACACTAAGGTAAAAACCAAAAAAAAAGGTAGTAAATGGCCCCTTGGTTTAGTTTTAGCTATAGCCTCAGGTTACTATTACAGGTAGTCCTAAGGCTTTAAACGTCCACAACGTTTTCATTGTTTTTCTCTCTATTGTATATACTAAAACTAGTAATCCTTATTGTGTCTTACTACACCATCAAAATCATACTATAAATTAATTTCTTTTCTTTTCACATTTTTGATTTCTCTCATCAAACTTTACTAAATAGAGAGTAGATAGTAAATGCTGTTAAATGGCGGTGAATAAGAGGAAACTGACACTATAATGGTGAGACAGAGAGCATAAAGTAGGAGAAAACTTAGTAGATGCAATGCAAGTAATTAATTATGCATAGACCTTTTTTTTTAAAATCAACTGTTTCATTTCTCTGAAAATGGTATAATTCTTAAACAGTCAGTATAAGCAAACATTATGGCTACAACAAAATATACACGCAAACACTATATTAGGTTATGTATTAGATAATCTCTCTACCATATACAATAACAGTCTTGCGATAAAATAAGATATGGAGGGTTCTTGGTATGAATATCTTTTATTACGCAACTCATGGAACTTAAGGAAAGCTCTCTAACCTTAAAAATGGTTAAGGAAGCACTTTGTGGTAGTAGAGAAATTAAGTAGTTCTTGCTGACAAGTCCACTGGCTGCTACACTGTTCTTGATGTCAACTCAATGAGTCATAGAGAATGTAAACTTTCACATTAGATCAAACAAAAACCGTATTTCAGAATCATTTAGAAATCCTCTGAGAACTCAATAGCATCAGAACTTTCATCACTTCAGTTCAAAGTGTAGACGTTATCTGAGAGCAATGAGCAAACCTAAATGTGCTCGAGTTGATGTTTAAATCAATGGTAGGGAATTCGGTTTATCTCATTTTACGGTCTAATAAACCAAGAATCCATACTTTGATTTGATCTTATATGGTTATGGTACTACCATGGAGGTGTACAAATGTTATCGGCAAGGTAAATTTATCAGCCAAGAAAGGTAGATGATTTATGAAGGCGAACGGTGACATTAAAGAGATTTTACAAGACCAAACAAGGAGGAGTAGCTAAAATGTGTTCCATGAAGGCAAAGATGGATTTATTGAGGTGGGCTCAAAGCTTGTGGGGTAATAAAAGTATCTTCATCAAATCAGAGAAACGATAAGACAAAATCATAAAAGAGTTTGTACCAATAAAAACAAAAAGAAATCGGTTTTTATAAGAAAAAGAAAAAAAAAGAGAGTAAATGTGAATATGAAAGCTGA